TTGCTTGAGGGACGACGTTGGATATTAGGGCAAAGAGGGTGATCATAGGCACACGGGCCTTTTAACACACAGAAGCTAGTTTGCAAAAGATCAAGTGGATTTAGAACCCGGTGCGTGGGGCCCTCCACCCCCTAGCCCTCCCCACGATGTTTGTCTCTTTGTTGCTCCAAAGACAGGTTGTTCCCAATGGTGGCTGCTCATTCTGGAGAATACTGAGCTGCAGTACCCAATCTTGCCAGCAGGTGACACCGGTCAACCATGGTACAAATGTCATTTTAAAAAAAGCCTCAAACTGGTCATTTATTATAGATTTCTGTCCATTAAATATACTGCAAATCTTGTTACATCCCAGACCGGCAGCAACTGCTTTAGCAGCTCAAGATACTCTTAGTTACCTGCCTTGTCTTTTAAGGTATAAAATAGACCTGGGTCCTGTAAGCCACACATTTATAAGGTTTAGCTGAAGTCTTCTGGTGTTTTAGTATTGATTTCAAGGAAAAAGCAGAGTAAAATCAATCGACTGCTAATCATGCCCTAATTAGGGTTTTGAGGTCAGAAGGGATTTGTTTAAATAGACCTAATTGTAAAACTTACATATTGCATCAATGTCATAAAACATGTTTGAGGCCTTATTTGTTCTTTTCTGGTCTGGAGTTGCTAGATTCTGGCAGTCACTCTATCCAGGACTTGGGGTGCTCTTCATGTACCCATTTAAAGCTCACACCCGACAGTGCTAAAAGTCTGAGGCTCCCTGGAGCCTCCTTGCTCCACGCCCTTCCCCCCTGTGCCAGGGACCTGGGTTTCAGGGGCCGGGTGGGGCTGAGCCATTGTCTCCAACCTCAGATCCAGCCCGAGGCCTTGGCCCCAGCACAGCACCGCCTCCTCTGGGTTTGTATACAAATGCGTGTGGCCAATGTCCATCTTTCATGGTTTGGGATTTTCGGGAAATGACGGGGCCTCTCTTGACCTCTGAACGGCCCTTATGTGTCAGAAGCCAGGGGAGCAGACCAGCGGAAGGCAGCAGGCCCAGTCTGCCTGCTTCCCTGGCTCCCTCTTGGGTGCGTGGGTTCCTCCCAGTCTTCCCTGCCAAGGCACCGACACTCAGTGGTTTTTCTTCCATTCTCCAATGAGTGCCTGCCTTTGTCCTTCCCAAACAGCTCTGCCGTGCCCCGACCCCAAGGTCACAAGCCTTCTGTATGGTTCAAAGGTTACGAAGCCTACCCACCGCCAGCCCCTCCCACCCAGGTGGCCTGCTCCGCTGGGCCAGTTTCGAGGCGCCCGTGGGAGGTGTTCCAGGCACCCGTGGGAGCTGAGGCGGCTCTGTCTTGGGCGTGTAAATGTCCCGCGTCTTTACAGCTGGGGAGAAGCTGGTGGCCAGGTAGCCGCATCTCATAGGACCCGCGGAGCTCTCCTGGCCCCTCTTTTTTCTTGGAGGGGAGGGCACGCGGGGAGAAGCTGCCACCATGCGTGAGATCTGCCCGTTTCCTTTTGGCGGGCAACCTCTCACCCTAAATCCAACCTCGATGCTGTGCTGTGAGGTAGTTCCCCCTTGGCGGGGAGGCGTGGGAAGTTCTCCTTCTACTCCATTCCAGATTCTTGAGGCTGCAGGCAAGTACTGATCACTGTGGAGTGCAGCCCTAGGAGCAGCCCTGGCCTCAGCCCCCAGGCTGCCCCAGGCCTTCCTGTCAGAGATGAGGAGAGAGTTGGCCACCAGGGGGCAGCGCGGGCTAGGGACGCCGCCTCAGGTTCAGCCGATTGGAGGGCAGGGCGGGGTGGGCGGGGGGGGGGGGACTTGGAACAGGTGCTAGTCAGAAGAATCAAGAAAGCTCAGTAACAGGCCATCTGCAGGAGGTGAGTTTTTGGGTTCAGAACACAACACTTAAAGTCTAGAGGACTTTGCTGGGAGAATTTTCTAGATAGATGACCTTCAGGCAAAGTAAGATCCAGATCAAAGAACAGATTGTATTTATCAAAAGCCTAAACCCCAAAGGACACACAGGTTTCCTGGCAACCGGAACAGCTGTTTCTAGAACATTTGATTGCTTCTCTCTTCTGAACTTCTTTTACGCTAAACCTTGAGCTTTTGGGCTGAAGCCATTGTGTGTGGGCTCCCTTACTTCTTCTAGTCAAGTACTTGTGAGGCGCCAACTCCCTCCCTCCCCCCCAAAAAACCCATGGAGCAGTCCCAGTACCCTTCCCTGCCAAAGCAGAAATGTCACTCAGGATTTAGAAAATAAAACATTACTGGAGCTGGGAAGGTGGCTCAAGTGGTAGAGTGCTAGCCTTGGGCTGAAAAGCTGAGGGACAGTGCCCAGGCCCAGAGTTCAGGCCCCACGACCGGACCCCAAAAAAATAGAATAAAACATTACTTAACAATTTAAAACATAGTGACCTGGGGCTGGGAAGGTGGCTCAGTGTAGAGCGCTTGCCTAGCATGCAGGAAGCCCTGGGTTCCACTCCTCAGCACCACACAAACAGAAAAAGCCAGAAGTGGTGCTGTGGCTCAAGTGGTAGAGCGCTAGCCTTAGGAAAAAGAAGCTCAGGGACAGTGCCCAGGCCCTGAGTTCAAGTCTCAGAACTGGCACACACAATAAACCCCGAAACATAGTGTCCTAATGCAATAGGCTGCAGATTCATAGCGTATAAGAATTAAAATGTAAGCCATCTAAACTAGAGCAGTGAGGCCTGTTTGGTGGGGAAAACGGAAGACATTGCCTGCTATCTTGCAGGTGACACGAGATGAGAGTCTTCGTCTCTCTGAGATGTTTCCTCATGTGCAGAGGGGCGGGGCTGGTGGGGTGGCTGGACCTGAGGATTTCTGAGGCCTCAGGGGTTAGCTCCCTGGGCATTTCTTCTCCCTGGTTTCACCCCTGCAAAAACACAAGGACTGATGGGAAAGACCAAACAAAAGCAAAAGGATGGAGGGAATCGCTTCAGTGGGAGAGCAACAACACTTAGTAGTTCTCACAAAATGAAATGAAGGAGAGGAAGGAGGAGGAAGAGAGGGGAGGGGAGGAGAAGGAGGAAGAAGAGGAAGCAGAGAAAAGAGGAGGAGGAGGAAGAGAAGGAGGATGAGAAAGGGAGGGGTGAGGCTGATGGAGTATGGCAGGCTGAGCCCCAGGCTCTGGCAGGCGCAGGGCTGAGTGGTGCCATCCATGGTGTGGAAGGCCTTGTTGGCTCCCCACTCGCCCGGCCGCGGGCACCCTGGCGTCTTCCCCCTCAGGCTGTGGAGAACGCGGGGAGCGCTCCCTCACGGCTCCACCGCCTGCTTGCCCTGCAGGACCATGCCATTCCCCCAGCGGCGGCCAGGCCGCATCCCCAGCCGCGGAGCACAGGGCCCCACGTCCACACAGGGCTTAGCTTCTGCTTCCAGAATGCTCGTTATTGTTGACATTGATCCAGATGAGACCGGAGTCTGAGGCCCCAGGCCTAAACGAGGGGATCCCCATGGAGGTCTGACCACTCACCCCAACACCATGGCGGGGGGCAGAGGAGGGAGCAATGGCCACCCCCTGCACAGAATGGACAGGCTGTGTGGAGGGACAAAGGCAGACCGTCCGCCTGTTTCCAGGACAGACACGTGGGTTTTTGGATTAAATAGACAAAAAACGTGTGCAGGTGGCAAAAGGAATGGGTAATCATTCACAGTCCAGGCCGGAGCACGGTGCGGATCAGCTGAGTGGTTCTGGCGAAGCTCTCGCTTTGACCACTCGAGGGGAGCGATCTGGTCAGGAGTCACCGCTGCCTGGGAATAGAAGAATGTTTAGACCAATCCTGATGTTGGCAGTTGATTACAGGGGTCTGGGGCTCCGTCCAAGGCCTGCTGTTCCTTTCCTTGGGGTGTTTCATCCCTTGTGGCCGGATGCCGGATGCCGGCCCTCCAGGACTTCAGGGGGTGGCCTGGACTGCGGAGAGAATGCCGAGCGAAGACAGACGCGCTGCAGACGCCTTGACGTTCATCGAGCTTTCCTCCTGCTTCTAGTTCATTCGTGGGCCCAATAAACAGCGAGTACTTTTTAGCAAAAGCAGGTTTTGAACACAGGCAACAGGGCGGGCGTGAAGGGGGACTCACGCTGGTGGAAGGGCATTTCCTTAGTCAGCGATGCTGTGAGCATCTCTCATGCATCATCGCCATTTGGCTACCGTTAGACAAAGGTCTACTGAACTCACCGGCGCATTTGTTGATATTGAATGGTTTTATTGAGTTCTTATATTCTGCACAGCAGCCGCTTATGGCTACCTGATTGAAAGACCCATTTCTCAAAGGCAGGAGGATAGCTTGTTTCTTTTAACTCCTGCACAGGACTTGGCCCACAGGTGACCTTCACAGAACATTCCCGAAGGCCACAAAATATGAAACTAAGTGGGAAAAAGAAACATAAAGAACATTTTCTAGGCAAGCCTGAGACCTGTTTCCCCAGAAGCAGAACTCAAAGAGTCACCCTGGAGGGGAGAGGCGGGTGCTAGAGCCAGTGAGCACCCTCTTCATTCAGAGGAGCCCTGGGCCCAAGGGACAGGCAGAAAGAAGGTCAGGCTGTGGAGGCCAGAAGGTCCGGGGACCTGCCTGGGGGAGGCAGCCCTGCAGCCAGTGGGTGTGCACCCACGGGTGCCCAAGATCCCGCGGGACGGAAGAGAGCGGGGCCCCCATGGCCTCTATCTCCGCCCAGGCTCTGGCTAAGGAGTCCCGTTCCAAGGGAGGCCGAGCCAGAGCTCTGCGGGCCTCTGCAAGTTCACTTCCACGCCCGGCTGCTCCTCCTCGACAGATCAGGCTAGGGAGCTCCTTCTTCTTGGAAAGAGGTGCGATGGCTCTGGGTAGGAAAGTGGGGGACAGACCCCAGGAAGACATAGACAGGGTGAGGGTGGGGGTGACCTCCTGCTCCGGAGGACAGGGGGAAGTGAGGGGAAGTGGGGTCACTGGCTGGAGGGCTTCAAGCTTCAGGAGGCAGGTGGGGAGAGGTGCGGGCGGGGAGAGGAAGGGGGGGCCTGTTTTTTCTCCCCCCTCAGTAAAACACTTTCTCCAGGTAGGTATTCAGGAACATTCCCGTGGGGTCCAGCCTTTCACGGATGGCACAGAACTTGGGGAAGGCAGGGTACATTTTCTCAAAGTCCTTCCGGGTGCAGTTGTGGGCCTGTGGAAGCAAGCAGGGACAACGGGCCTCACTGTCAGAGGCACAGGTCTGGAGGCTGCCTCTCCATGCTCCCCTTCCTGGGAGCCTCTGTGACGCCGGCCTCCTCGAAGCACCGGGGCCCACGGTGTAGGGAGCCAAACAGAATGGGGGAGGAGAGGGCTGGGAAGCAGAGCAGGAAGGGGCCAGGCCACCCTGGGAGCCCAGTTTCAATGTGGCGGCTGTGTGATACACTTTGTGGGTGTCTGTGGTATCCTGCTCGCTGCTTCCTGTGAGAACCAGATAAAGCTACGGAGGGGACGTTTCTCATGGCAACCTCTGGGCTGGTAGAGCCGCAGCCCTGGCGAGGAGGCCGGGGTCTGGGACAGGAGGTGAGGCCCTGGCATTTCCTGCCAGTCAGCCTGGGCACTTAGAGGAACAGGGAGGACTGGCGCCCTCTGCTGGAGGCCACGGCACAACAGCTCCGGCCTCAAGTCCTACCTTGGCCCAGTGGGGCCTGCCTCCAAACTTCTTCATGATGGTCTCGTAGGCCAACCAGTAGTCCAGCCGAGGGACGTCCTTGCCGTAGGGCCTGCAGTGAGGAGAAACAGGTGGTGAGCCAGCCCGGCCCTCTCTTAGCA